GTCGTCCAGGGCTTCCAGCGGGATGTCGGTCACTCGACTCACGTTAGCGAAGACGCTGAACTGGTGTACCTCTCGGGCGCACCAGGCTTCGGCGCGCGACCTCACCGCGGCGCGCCCCCCCCCCCGAAATCAAATGGGATAGCACGGGGACCACGGGTGGCCCCAGTAGCTTCGCGAGGGCGCCCTTCTTGGCCCGACGGGGCACGCGGCTCTGAGCAGGGGCCACGAGGTGGTCCAGCGGCCTGTCCTCCTCGCTCTCGGAGCTCGAGGCCTCTGCGAACTGCGGGTCGGAGCTGATCAGGGCCCGCAGCTGCTCCAGCAGGTGGCGCACCTCGGCCTCCGAGAGGTCTGGCTGGCTGGCGTTGCGAGCCAAAGCCTCGACGCCGAGCGCTTCGCTGCCCCCCAGCACTCGGGAAGTGCACTGCCGAGATGCGGACGGGCCCCGTGGACTGGAGGCACCGCTTCCGACTGGGACCACCAGCCAGCACCGCACGGGGTTGAGACGAGGCTGACACCCGACTTCCGACACCTGACGCAGATGGGTTCGGCTGCACGAAAAATAGCTCGAGCCGAAACGTCTACGGAGGCAGGGCGAGGCGCAGGTGATAGCGCTGGCTTTTTTCAATGAGAGACCTCGAGGACCCCCGGCACGACACGGCTCAAACTGGCGGAACCCGGGAGCGCACAGGGGCCTACACGGGGCTTTTATTTATTTATTTATCTATATATATACATATAAATATGTATATATATATATATATATATGCGTGGTAAGTCCTTTTGGTACCTGGGTTCCTCCGCCCCTCCAAGGGTCTAGTCTACGTCACGGGAAGCGCGATTGCATGGATGGGGACGGCCGACATCGCCCTCTCTACTCTCAGCGTCACTCGTCTTTGACTGAAACAAACGGGAGGGAGCATCAGCGGGATTCTCCTCTGACGGAATCCAGCGAACAGAAAAAGCGGATGTTGCGGCTGAGGCACCACGCGCCCATCCTGCGCAAAACGACGAGAAGTTTGAAGCTCCGACAACGCCACCTGCCCGCGGCGAGCACGAGCCCAAAATTATCTGCAAAAAGAAGCTGGCGAACGTTGCGACAAACCTGGCGCAGCTCACCCTCTCCAGCCCCCGCAGCACACCGCGGGCCTCCAGGGCCACGATCTCCTTTGGTCGGCAAAATCTCCAGCCGCCGACAACCGTCCACTGAGACTGCTCCGTCATGAGTTTGGGCACCTCGGCGAAGCTAGGGTCAGCGAGTAGCCCTCCGCGGCCCAGGCACCCCTCGACGCCCAGCGGCTCCGAAGGAGGCAAGCCGTCCCCAAAAGCTGCCGCGCGGGCCCCCACGCGGTCGGCGGCGAGGTAGCGGTCGCGCTCGCGGCAGCGGCCGACCGCCGCGACGTCGCGGGCGTCGAACCAGCGGGAGCAGATGCCGCAGCCGGTCTTCGAAGCGCCCGTAGCCACCACCAGCGGGTTCCAGTCGGACTCACAACTAGAGACAAATAGCACCATGAGCCCGGCAAAGGCTCTCAGCTCGGCGGCCACCGACGGCCAAAGGGCGACAGGCTGGTCGCAGTGCTTCCTGATGAACGGGTAGACCGTCGCAAACACCGACAGCATCTCGCGCCTCACCAACCCGCACGAGGCGGCGTGGCCCAGGGCGACCTCCACCTGCCGCCCAGAGGCGCGGCGCCGCCCAGCGAAGGCCAGCAGAGCGCCTCGCGCGCACCTGAAGCGCCTCGCCGTCAGCCGCGCGCGCCTGCGGCGACCACCCAGCAGGACGCCGAACGCCTCGACGGCCGAGTCGAAGGTGGCGACCTCATGCACGGCGAGGCCCCTCGCCTCGAAGGCCGCGCAGACGTCCTCCAACTTGGCCGCCGCGCCGCCGTCCGACCCGAAGACTCCGACGTTGCCCGCCTAGATGTAGCGCCAGGTCTTCGAGGCGTCGTCACCGCGCAGGGTGAGGACCAAAGGCTGGCCCCTGTCACGGAGCAGCTCGCCACGCTCCAAGATCTGGCCGGCGACCTCCGCGTCGACGTCCTGCGCCGGGAAAAGACTCCAGGAGAAGCCCATGGGTCGTCACCGAGGCATCGGGATCACCATCTCGCCTGGCCCGACGGGGCCTTCGAGGGCCCCCTGGAGCCCGACGTCGGCGGCGCAGGCGCGGACGGGCGGCAGCCCGAACCAGCGGGAGAGCCAGGTCGGGACGCCCATCCCGTGAAAGGCGCCCTGCACATCCGCCGCGCCGCAGCAGAGGGAAGAGTAGCCCTGTCCGTCGGGAAGCTCCACCTCGACGCGGCCGAGGCCCTCGGCCGTCAGAAGGTCCACCCGAGGCGGAGGCGCGAAGCGCATGTTGGCGCGCCCCGCGTCGAGGACGAGGGGGAGCCCCCCGCTCTTCTTGCGGACGGAAAAAAAAAAACGAGTTCGCTCGCGAGCCCAAGCGCCGAAAACCACCATGTTCCTAGCCTTCTGGTCGCGGGCACAACGGGCGTTGAGCGCTGGGCTGCTGGCGAGCTGGGGGTCGACGCAGCATTGCTCAGCACCATCATCAAAAATGTTGCTGGCAGCGGGATCCAGCATGCACTCTCCTGCGCCCTCCAGGCATCGTCGGCCACGGCCCCCGACAAGTTCCGAGAACGTTGGGGGCGCCGGTGCTTCTCGGGCAAGGAGGAGACCCGACCACGCCGGCACGGCGCGAGCGCAGTCGAACCAGCGTCTATCCTGTAGCCGGACGCCTTGCCAAAGAGCAACTCCCGAAGGGCCGCTGCTGGCGGCCTGTAGAAGTCCCGAGCACCCCCCCGCACCTGGAGCTCCGCCAACGCCTCCAGGTAAAGCAGGTTCTCATCCAGCTTGGGCGCCGCCCCCCGAAAGGGCAAGTCGCCGTCGTAGCCGGCGGGGCCAGGTCGCCCCCGGACGTCAGACGGTTGGCGGGCGTCGGTCTTCGCAAGACAACTAAGTGCATTACAACTAGCCTCCACTAACTGTCGAACATGGTCACGAAGACGATAGCGCCCGAGACGTCAGCCGTCAGCAGCGGGGGCAGGTTCACGCCGAGGAAGGGCCAGCAAAAACTGCTTGAAGAGGCGAGGGCGCCTCAGCGCCCCATAATCCCCCACCTTCAGCGGGCCGTGGCGTGGAGGGCCTGTTCACGACCCGTCGTCCGAGTCAACCATCCTTCGGGGCAGCGGAGCGCTGACCGCCCCGCCCACCCCGACCTGCGTCGCCACGCCCGCGGCCTCGGCCCCCGTCGGCGGCGCCGCGGCCGCCTCCAGCGCCAGCGCCCTCTGCCGCAGGCCGCAGCTGGCGCGTCCGATTACTCTCGATATCGCTCTGATCCTTCAACTTGTTGATGCCCCACTTGCGCAGAGCTGGCACGATGGCGCCCCCGTAGTTGGCCTCGCCCTCGCGCGCGGCCGCCACGCGCCGAAAAGGGACTCCGCTGCCCGCGGAGTGGGCGTCAATCACGCCCAACATCAACCGAACAATCTTCTCGATGCCCGCCGACGCGCCCAAGTTGACCTGGTCGCACTCGCCGAAAAAATTGAAACTCTCCGTCAGAGAAGTCATCTCGCGGCAACCCGATCCGTCTTCGAGATGCCGTTGCCGCGGGCGAACTCATGCCACCACCGTCGCGGGTCGCCTCCGTAGCCCTCTGTGTGACGAGCGAGGTGGAGGGCTCCAGGAAGCCCCTTGGACCTCCACTGCGGTGATGGGCTCCCCCCCGCGTTCCTGGACGGCCTCCTTCCAGCTCTTGAACCTCTCACCCACCTCATCGCAGTCGGCCCAGAGGGTGCGCACGTCGTCGTCCTGGGCGGGCATCTCGTCGGCGGCCCGAGCGCGAAGCGCCGAAGGGCCTGCCGCCGAAGCCGCGCAACCGCATCGCGCATGGAGCCCCTTTCACGAACTCCACGCACTCGCTGCTGGCCACAGCCTGGACACGCAAGAAGGTGCCGCGCATGTGAACGAGCCCGTCGGTCGACGTCACGATGGCGCCCCCAGCACGCGGCGTCACCTCCATGCCCATGGTCTCGTGGCCCTCGGCATTCTCGGCGATGAGCCAAACCAGGCCGTCGCGAAGAGCGGGGCGCTCGGGCAGCACAGCCAGGAAAGGCGCCACCACATCGCAGGCCTCTGGGGGCCCCTCGCTCTCCGCCGCAAGAGCCTCTGACGGGGGCGGCAGTGGGGCCGTGGGGGTCCCGCCAACCGCGGCAGCAGGTCCACCGCCTCCCCGTCGAAGCCGCCGCCCAACGCCAAGCAGCGGAGCAAGCTCGCCCTCCACAGTCACGCAGTGTGTGAGAGCGGGCGGCTCCTGTCCCGCTGACCGCATCCAAGCCACAGCCTGCTGGGCCTCGTGTCGGACACGGCCATCGACAGGCTAGGCCCCATCCGCGAACCTGTAGAACTTCCCTCGCAGGGCGCGAGGGCAAGTTCCCGCAAGATCGAGCAGCATCAGCCGCTCGCCCTCGCTCGCCTCCATCGACACATCCTCTTCGAAGAAATCCCCGTCGGGAGTGGGTACCCACCAGCTAGTGACGAGGCCCTCAGCGTTGCGAAGCCCAGGACCCATAGCAACCCTCTCGTGCCACAGGTCCTCTGCGGCATACTTGATAACCATCAGCCGACCTGGCCGTAGACTACTCGACAACTCCTGCACCGAAAGAGGCCTTCCTCTGTCCGCGAGGCAGAGGGAGCGACGAGCCGCGGCGAGCGCCATCGCGACGGGGGCAAGACCAATGCCCGAAGAGGAACAGCACGAAGATGAAACCCTGGACCGTACACAGCGCCAGCGAGGTGACTGCGATCAGCTTTTGTCGAGCTCAACAGTCCTGCACTCGCAAGTCTCCGCCTTCAGGCGTCGAACCACCTCCTCGAGCACGTCGGGCTGGACCACTGCGTCGGCGCAGGTCACCTCCACCCGCGACGGCGCTGGCGGCGAACCCCAGGAGCCGCAGTCCGAAGGGGGAATCGCAGGGCCCGCGGCCCACCGCCGCTCGGCCGCGTCGCGGAGGATGATGGTCAGAGTGGCCAAGAGGACCCTGAGCACCGACTGCATGCGGTGTCAGGAACTCTGGAGCCTGGATGACCGCGGAGCAACAACAATGTGGATCGATGAGACCGTCAACCCAAACGCTGCTAAGTCATTACTGTGCACGCACCCCCGTTATCCTCCTCCTGTTCCTGCTGCTCTGCCTCCTCCTCCCCCTCCTCCCTCTCCTCATCCTCCTCCTCCTCCTCCTCATCCTCCTCCTCCTCATGTTTCTCTTCCTTACCCTTTTCCTCCTCGGCCTCCTCCGCCTCCGCCTCCGCCTCCGACTGCTCCTCCGACTCCCCCTGTTCATCCTCATCCTCTTCCTCGTCGTCCTCCTCCTCATCCTCCTCCTCCGCCTCCGACTGCTCCTCCTCCTCATGCTCCTCCGCCTCCTCCTCCTCCTCAAACTCCTCCTCCTCCTCCTCCTCCTCATCCTCCGTTCCTTTTCATTATAGATAACGAGCCTGAAGCCAGTTTTTAGAACAGTCTCTCCTTGTACTGTATGATGTTGTAGCTTCACAGGTGGCAACGGTTTCACAGATGGAGGGCGGGTGGTTTTCAAAATGTGGCTCTCGCCTTAGCGCCGCGCACATTCGCTCTAACAATGTGCCAGAGCTTCCTGGTTTGAGGATAACCCGTTTTCACCATGTAGCTCTTGCCGCAGCGCCGAGCACATGTGTTGTATAAACTTGCAAGAGTGTGACGGATTGAGGGCGGGTGGTTTTCAAAATGTGGCTCGCACCGTAGCGCCGCGCACAGTCGTCTTAAAAGTTGCAAGGCGTTCACGGGATGAAGGCGGCTCTTTTTCAAAATGTGGCTCTCGCCTTAGCGCCGCGCACATTCGTTTCCAAGCAGTTGCAAGAGCGTCACGGATTGAGGGCGGGTGTTTTTCAAAATGTGGCTCTCGCCTTAGTGTCGCGTAATTCGCTTTACAATTCGAGCTTCACGGATTGAGGGCAGTTCCTTTTCAACGTGGCTCTCGCCTTAGCGCCGCGCACATTCGTTTATCAAGATTTAGGGGAGCTTCACGGATCCCCATGATCAACGTACCAGAAATGGTGCCTCGAAAAAACTCAGGATTATGCGGGTGCAACAGTTACACTGGTTCGCGGTGTTGAAGTCCCAGGAATGGCGTTCTGGCACGACTCATGCTTGTCAAAACGCAACAGTCAGATTGATCCGTGGCGTTGGAGAACTCCCCAGAACAGTACGTTGGCATGCCTCAGAATATTCAAACGGCTGTCGTCCTACAAGGCAGTTCCTTAGCGGAGACGAACCGTTGCAAGAGCCTGTGAAGAGGGAGCTTGGTGAGAGGATTGGTTCAAATGTCGTTGATGACTCTTGGGTTTACACCTCCTACGCCGCCTCCTCTTCCCTCGCATCCTCCTCCTCTTGATACTCCTCCTGCTCCTGCATATGCTCCTCCTCGTCCTCCTCCTCCTCCGCATCATCCTTATCCTGCTCCTCCTCCTCCTCATCATCCTCCTCCTTCTCACCCTCCTCCTCCTCCTCTTCCTCATCCTCCTCCTCCTCATCCTGCTCCTCCTCCTCCTCCTCCTCCTCCTCCTCCTCCTCCTCCCGCTACTGCTCCTCCTGCGCATCCTCCTCCTCCTCCTCCTCATCATCATCATCCTGCTCCTCCGCCTCCTCCACCTCCTCCTCCTCCTCCTACTCCTCCTCGTCCTCATCCTGCTCCTGCTCCTGCACCTGATCCTGCTCCTGTTCACCCTCATCGTCCTCCTCGTCCTCCTCCTCCTCGGCATCACCATCATCATCAACAACAACATCATCATCAGCAGCAGCATCATCCTCAGCATGAGCATCATCCACATCAGCATCAGCATCATCAACAACCGCATCATCATAATAATCAGCATCATCATCCTCATCAGAATCGTCATCATCAGCAGCAGCATCATCATCATCGTCGTCGTCAGTATCTTAGTATTCATCACCATCATCATCATCATCATCATCATCGTCCTCAGCAGCAGCATCATCAGTATCATCATCAGCATCAACAGCATCATCCACCTCATCATCATCATCATCATCATCATCATCATCATCATCATCATCGTCATCATCAGCATCATCGTCAGAATCATAATCAGAATCAACATCATCATCAGCATCACCAATATCATCATCCCCAGCATCGTCGTCCGCAGCATTATCAGCACAAGTAGCATCATGATCATCAACAGCATCATCACAATCAGCATCAGCATCGACATCAGCATCAGCATCATCATCATCATCACCAGTATCAGCATCATCATCAGCATCAGCATCATCATCGTCATCATCACCGTCACCATCATCATCATCATCAGCATCATCATCATCATCATCATCAGCAGCAGCAGCAGCATTATCACCATCATGAGCATGATCAGCATCATCATTGTCAGCATCAGTATGGTCACCATCATCGTCATCAACGTCATCATCAACAGCATCAGCATCATCAT